CTATAGATTTCAAAATGCCAGAAGGATATCTAATGTGAGAAATAATGTTAAAGGTGATTTACATAATTTTCGCTTTACATTTTTTTTTTGTTTTGTTTCCGTCGACAATCTTTTCACCAGAATTTGAATTCTTCTCAATAGCCACCCAATTTTTGCATTCCTCCCATTTTCCTTTCTTTGCCAAACATAGCCTTAGAGAATAGTCCAATATCGTTTTTCGTTTTTTTTCTCACCATGAAATAGGTTTTCCCATTAATTATTCAAGCATAATACTCCTCTCATCCGTGTATCAAGTGATAGACGGAACTCGAATTCATGCTCTTAAAGAGGATATCATAAGAATAGGTAAGTGTACCGATTTGAACCTAAATTTCAAGCAAAATAAAAAATAAAAAAACGAAAATGCGCGCTATTAAGCAACACGATGATTGTTATTAATATTTTGTTGGGAGAAATATTCCTCCACTTTATGTTATAAACGTTTTAATTAAATATATTAATGATTATATGTCATTTGATATATCAATTTAACGATATATTAACATATTAATCATATCGAAAAAAGCAATTTTAAGCCAAATTTTGAATTTCTGCACTTTTTATTGTGCTTATACATATAATCGAAGATTAACCTGAAGCAAATCAAGCCGTGTTTGTTTGGAGGACTTTTAATTAAATAATTTTAGTTGGAATTCATTGCATTGACATGGGGAATGGTCATTTCCTTTCTAGGGACATTAGATTTCCATTTCATTTTCGAACCAACTAAATTATAATTGAGGTTATTTCAAACCATCACATCTTTCTTATAACAAGACGTACTTCCATTTAAAAAAATCGAAAGGAGTTTAAATATTAATATTTTTGTGTAAGATTTTGAGCATATTGCGTAAACAACCTCACGAATCTACTTTTTATATTTAAGGAGAAATAGAAAATACGCCATAAATACCAAGAAAATTATACTCCAGCAATCTCCAACACTCTTAATTTGAGGATTATAACTAGGACTTTTAAATACAGTACGTTGCTAGTGTAAACTTTTCGTTACCACCCAAGTGGACACATGTTTTGATCTCAAGTCTGCCTGTGCAAAGAAAAATTTATGCGACGGTGTTTTAGATAAATTCTTATAACTACCCACTCTCTACGGCCAATAGTTTTACGTATCTACTATTATTTCTCTGAATTTGAAAGTAATTAAAAACAGAAATGTCAATGGTCAAACCAGAAGCCTACAGATATTATCAAGTGTTTGTAAAATATAATTTCCATCTCCGATAGCCTTTAAAGTGGGAATATTTCGAATTTTGATATTAATTTCTTTGATGTTTGTGCTACTGCTTTCTCGTAGTAAAACAATGGATTTTTCCTTTTGTCGCAAGAAAATTTCATTTGGTTTGTAAAGATCAAACGTTGAGGAAAATAGAAAGCTTCCAAACAAAGCAAATACCAAATAGCCACAAAACAAAAGAAAATAACGTGAGTACTGCCTGTAGTTATAAGTACGCTCTCTTCCCAAAAGACCAGATCTATCATAGCACTCAAAAAAAAAAAAAAACAATCGGCGGCTGATCACCGGCATCATCAGTGATGGGTGCACGCTGAGATCTTCTCCTCCAGAAACTACGGCTTTCAATGCGCGCCTAGGTTCAATACCCTCAACACCATCGCCATACGGAGACAACAATAACAACAACAATAACTTGTTGAATCACCATAGATCGAACGGCTCTAAGGAATTTACAAGTTTAAATTTAAATCGGGAGAGAAAACTTCTAGATTTAGATCAAACCTAAATTAGGAAAGGATAGCCTTCGCCGAATTTCGAAGAAGTCATAGAACTACCGCCCAAGCATCTTGCTGGCTGGACTGATGACGACTTTCAAACAAAGTTTTTAACTGCAAAATATTTGAAAGTTTAGGGGGGGAGGGGGGATTGAACTACCCACTTTCTTAAAAACGTTTCTTGCATATTTACAACTTTTAAGGTACATTATGAATAATTCTGACGATGTCATTGTTGGAATAATGGTTAGGGAACTTATTTTTGCACATTCATCTAATAAATGAATTGCTCACATTGCAACAAACTCTTGTAAGGTCTCATAAATGAACATAAACCTCATGTGATTATAAGTTGATTCGCGACATCCGCTTCGCCCAAAAAAAAGTTATTGTATGTTGATTTAATTCGTCTCGAAATTGGATTATGCAAGCGACGAGGATCCTATATAGTTACGTTTTCATGTTTTTTAAGATTCGGTTTCGTGATAAGATTTCTATCCCAACATGAAAGACCCAATTTCAGGAATGAATCAAACCGATTTTTAGCTCTACATCTAAATTCAATAAGAAATTAAATTACAATGTTCATGCCTCTTTTGACTGCTTGAACAAATGGGGAAAATTGTTCAAAAAGTCCTAAATCTGTTGCACTTTTGCCAATTCAGTCCTAAATCTTTCAATTTTGGCAATTGAGTCATAAACTTTTTCATATTTTGCCAATTAAATCCATCCGGCCAAATAGCGAAATCAAAATGTTTTTTTGGACAATTTTCCTTGGTATGTCATTTTAGCATGTTGGACAGCCTGTTTGTCTTCCCTCTTCCTCATGATGTTGTTTGTGTTGGGTTTGATTGATACTCTGCATCAACAGAAAGGCACGGGATCCCACTCCTCGGTGAGCGGGCGGGGGGTTGTCCCGGCAGGAATCGTAGTGGGCAGCGCTCCGCAACACTAGAGTGCTTTTATAGTTTGAACCCATAAATAGCTACTGAGTAAATATAATCTCTTTCTCTTGTAACTAAAGGTACGTTTGTTTTGGTAAAATTGTTTTCTGGGAAAGTGTTTTCCGAACTTTCATCCGTTTGGTTGTCCGAAAACGATTTGGTCAACCGAAAATACTTTCCGATCAAGGAAACCATTCATGTATAAATTTAGGAAAGTGAATTCTCTAGTTTAAGAAGGTGAAAACACTTTCTGAAATTGATTATCTAAAATTTGTTAACATTTTATTTTTCTTTTCTTTCTTTTATTTTATTTTATTTTTTATTTTTCCTTCTTCCTCCCTCCGCCAGTTACCAGCCTTGGTGGCGGCCGACGACCGGCCACAAGCACGGGCCGACGACGGCTAGCCTCAGGCGAGGCCGAGCTTGCCAAATCTCGACGAGCTAGAGTCTCGCCAGCCTCAGTGCAACAAGCTTGAGTCTCACCGGGATCTGGCGAGCTCGAGCTCACCGGTGTCGCGCGAGGCCCGACCTCGCCTGGACCTCGCTGCCTCGACTTCGCCCGGCAAGCTCGAGGCTAAGCAGATCTAGGCAAGCTAGGGCTTAGCCAAGGCCAGTGAGCTCGTGGCTTGCCAAATCCAGGTGAGCCACGAGCTCGCCAAATCTAGGCCAACTCGGGCTCGGTTGAGGCCAGCGGGCTCGCGACTCGCCTGGGGCTGTCGCTAGTTGGTCACGGCGGAGGAAGGTGGAGAAAGAAAAGGAAAGAAAAGAAAAAAGAAAAGGAAAGAGAAGAAAAAAGAAAAAGAAAAGAAAAAAAGGAAACAAATAATTAAAAATTCGAATTTTTTAAAAAGAAATTAAAATTAATTAAAAATTCGATTTTTAAAAATATTTAAAAATATTTAAAAATTCGATTTTTTTTTCGGCGGAAATAAACTCATGAGATTGAAATCATTTTCCAATGAAATCCAAACATCAGAAACCGATTTCTATTATGTATCACTAAATAAAGGAAAACTAACCGTATTTCTGGAAAATGATTTTCTAGAAAATATTTTCCTTTATCATTAAGTTTTCCACGAAACAAACGCACCCTAAGAATTGGAAGAGATGTGCTAATTATATTGTAATCATCTGCTAGATGTGACACTAGTTTAAGTGTGAACCAAAATAAAATCACCTTCGCCCGGAGAGCTCACCAAGAGAGAGTCTAAAGCCCGAGCCCATCAACATATCCAGTTGGACCAATCCTAACTCAAAAGCTTAAACAAATGCGTTATGAGCCAATTTGGATATATCAACTACTCTACATCACACCAATTCTCCGATGTTGGACTTTTCTAACAAATTATACCGAAAATAGTTGCACTAAATCCTCTTTACCTTGGAGCTCCGGAAACCCTTCTTTGTGGGTATTTCATTTTGAGAGATTTATGATAAGAATACTATTTTGGTTGGAGAATCTAACTAACATCATAATTTAGCGAGAAAAGCCAAATCCTAAACATTAATGTGAGCTTCTCAAGCTGGAGCTTTTGTGGGCCAACAAAGAAACATTGCTAAGAGCTTTGGCTATACACATTGGGAATCTCCATCATGCTACTCTTTGGTCTTTTACTTCGATAACAAAGTTCAAGATGCGGTATTTTTTTACGACTTGATCTTATCAAGTTCGAGTTCATGTTCACGGTGTTTAGCTCTCAGATTATTGTCAACCCAGTTGATGCGATCGACAAAATAACTTTTATTCAGAGTTCGTTTGCAGACAAAAAAACCTATTAGGAAGAACGCCATATTAGAGTTAGAACTTGAGCACGCAAATATCTCTACAGGGCCATCGAAAGGGCAACTTGGATACACATCCCACGTACCAATGTACAGGAAAACAAAACGGGAAAGTAGTCTATTATATCATCCAAAGTGATGACCTATACTTTATATCGACTAGAATATGCGTACTTGAGATCTGCAAACATGTTTTAAAGACAACAATAGACATCACAAGCCTAGCCACAGTAAATAAGAGTACGTCGAGTGCCGAGGTACCGAGTACCGCTATGGCCAAAACCGTATATCAACCACGTGTGTGATGACGTGAGATACCTGAGGGTTATATAACCCGATTCCATTTTTGGGTTCAAATACAGAGTTTTGTTTTACTCTTATTAAGCCTATCCATCGCACGTGGATTTCCCCTTCCCCTCATAAGAAAAATGAAAAACAGTAACAGCACCCATATGAAGCTCCAAAATCCAAGTATAGATCAACGAATTAACACAATTTAGATATGATTTCACTCTCAATAGAAAAACTCATTTCACTATATCTGTTCAACATCAACTCTTTTATCACACAGGTACATGTAACTATAACAGATCAGATTGTACAAACATTGAATAGCATAAAGCCAAAAACATCAGCCAACCATATACCACCACACAATAAACAGAATCGAATTCACAAAAGAATGGAAAAAATGACAAACGTGAGCACACGCAAACCATCTCGAGAACCTATAGAAGAATGTGTACGCACGGATTACAGTTGATGAGCTCCCCTGTTTAAAGCTCTCTCCAACCTTGTCTCAAAAGGGGTGGAGTGCCAATTCACTTTCTTATCCTGCAACATCAACGAAAGAAAAAACAACAGAAATTAGTTTCCTTCCCACTTTGACCTTATGAAACCACTTGCACATCTGTGATGACCCAATACCTCTCCGTATTTGCTGGTGGTGTTTGGTATTCCTTTGAAGGAAGCCGTTGAGCAAGAATTGCCGACCGAATCCGACTGGCTCCAGTATGTTCCGACTATCCCAATTATGGGCATCTCGTCGGGACTTCTGCTCGGTGACTTCCTTGGTGAAGACTTGGCTGAAAACTGTCTGAGTTCTTCAACAGTCAATGCACCCAAAATTGGTCTATCTTCTTGGCTCCTCGGTGAGCTCATAAATCCTTTTACCACTCTGGTCTCGACTTGGACAGAGTCCAAAGTCATTGCGCTCTTCTTTTCAATCGGTGTAGTTACTGAGGAAGGCAACCAGTTTGAAAGGCTAGCATCCACAGCTACTTCTTGGGTAGATTTCTTTGTCTCAATCGGTTTTGCCTTGAAACTGAATGATACTTCCTTCGAAGCTGGTGCAGTGTCGAATGACATCCTAGCTTCTTGGTCAAAGCTCAAATTCTCCTTTTGGTGCTTCGGCAGTGGCGTCCCTTTCGCTTTCACGGCCTTCCATTGAGTTAGATTTTCGACAGGATTCAACACTGAATGGATGTACACACTCCTATCTCGAGCATTCACATTCAACTTAGTAGGGTTCATCTCCGCTACAGGAGATTCGCGGCGCATGTGTTCAGGATTGCAAACCTCACTAGGAGTTGGGCGAACTGCCCTCGTTTCTTCGATCTCATCATCGCCCTCATATATCTCACTGGAGTCCTGACCTTCATCCTCATCGCCGTCGTGGTCGTCATCATAATCATCATCAGTAAGATTACTCACATTGCAATCCAAGTCCCCATCTTCATCGTCGCTGTCTCTACAGTTCTGGTACCTGTGGTTTGGAGGGTAAGACCTGATGCTGGACGCAACCGAGCTATCCTCAGAAGCACACTGAGCTTGACTTAACTTTTCATAATTATCATCCGATTCGACCATATCTCGACTCTCCCGTAAAGTTTCTTCTCCAGCATCAGCATCATCATCATCAGGAGGCGACGAAACATGCTCATAGGTTTTAACATTCGAATCAAATGTTACTTTCTTCCGGGTACTGCAGCTCAATGTCTCTTCAGGCTTATCACTAGACCAAATAAAACACAACTCATCTCACTACCCAGAATTACCCATACACAATTGATTCAGGTAAAAGATATGCATAAAGATCGAAGAACGTGTCTGAATTATGACAAACAAGGGAAAAGAAGTAATCACTCACAGCACATCAGTAACCGAAGCAACTGGTTTCGCCGGGATTTCTTGCCCGGACGAGACGGGAAACTGAACCGGCCGGCTACCCGAATTCCGCTGCAGACAATTAACCAGAAAGATCCAGTGAGAATCAAAGAATTCCGGCAGTGACAACTCCCGATCACCCGTTCTTCCCTCATTAATGCCAAGTGAAGGGGGAAAACCAGTTCAAAGATCCAGAAAACCAAAGAGGAAAAAAAGAAACAAAAGCAAGCGAAAGGCCAGCGATGAACAAGATAGACGGACGGAACCGCAGCTCGACGGAGCAAAGGCTTTTCACCTGGTCGCGAGGCTGGACTTTCCCCCGCTGCTTCCGCCGCCGCCTCCCGTCTTTCGACGAGCCGAAGCACGCGAGGAAGCAACCCATCGCCGGACACCTCTCCCTCCCCCTCCCTCTCTCTCTCTCTCAAAAGGGCTTCAAGTCCTCCGGCGAAGGAGAAGGCGGCGACGAGACTCCTGATCAAGCAGCAGCAGCAGCAGCATCCATGGCTTCCTCGCAAAAGCAACGATCGGATCGATCGGATCGATCAGACAGCGGAAGAGCCCGGAGCGATCTTGGAACTCTTTCGGGGGAGAGGGATTTCTAGGGTTTTGCATTCATCCATTACTCTAATAATCTCGAAATCTCCCTCCTTCGTCGGCTGCTATTCGTTGCGAAAAAGGCAAGTGACCGTTAGGGGAGCACTTGCGGCATGACGCGCAATTGAATATAAAAAAAGAAAAAAAACCAAGTGAATAAATAAATAAATAAATAATCTCCGTTTATATATTCGGGGGGGCCTACGGGACCCGATTCGGACCGTTGAACCGGGTCCCACCCGATTGGCCACAAGATAGCTGTCTCTGCTGCAAAAGCTAAGTATTTGGTCATCTTTCCTTTGCTGTTGTTACAGATACGGGTTACTCCCACAGCGCGGCGGCCGGTGCGTTGTCCGGTGGCCCCGTCGGGTAAATGAATCGAGGAGTGCTTGGCTGTTCTGTGATCGTCGGGTCCCCGTCGGGTAAATGAATCGAGGAGTGCTCGGCTGTTCTGTGATCGTCAGGTCGGTGTGACATGCCCGTGCGAATGTGGCCTGGTTTCGCGATTCGAGTTCACACATGCTTTGGAATGGTACAGAGAGACTAATGACCCTGTCACACGCATGCAGATTGACAAGCTCGGACTTTCTGGGCCGTCCATGTTCGGTACCGTTTAAAATGAACACCTGAGTGACGAAAGGAGCTTCTGCATGTTTTGAGCCGATCGGTGCCGGGTGCGTCGGATATCGATTCTATGTCAGAATGACTGACACTAATAGTTGCATTCAATCAGCACATAGACGGCAAGCAACCAAAGTAAAAGAAAAATTAATAATTATCGACAGAAATCAATGGATACATCCGCGGGAACCCCCGAAGAACCGGTGTCTATATTCAGATAAGTTGTGTACATGTAAAACAGCCAATAGTTAGTTCCTCAAATCGACAATTAGCACTTAGAACTGTCGGAAAATTGAGCATACAGGAATGCATACAGTATGTCCTTTGAAGTCGAAAGCCAAGGGCCTCTCAAGCAGTAGTACCCTCAAAGTAGCTGACAATTTCACAAGATAAACAGGTACAATGCTCATCTCTACAATGACAAACATAGGCTGGAAGAAAATTTTGTGCACACATCTTTTGATCCGTGGCGTCGTTTCCGGCTGCTGCAATTTGTTCACTTATGATAGCAAAACTAAATGCCAACAAGGAGCAGTAGCCATACCTTGCTTGAACAGGTCCGACTGGGAAAGCAGACAAGAGTATATAATTCTAGGTCAGTAAGCATATGAAATGAAAAGACCTTTAGAGTGACATTGTTGAATCAGGAGGAAGTCTAGAGTCAGTAAAGTATCGGTAAATGAAGACGACAAAGAGCATAACGTGGATCGTGAATAGAATCAGTAAATCATCACCGCATTTTTCCCACTTTCCGGATGTACAACTACTAATAGACTTTACCAAGGGCATTTATTGTGGCTCAAAGAGCTGGACAGTGCACAATACTTATCAGAGGCATCTTCAGTTTACGGTTCCTTTTACTTTCAGAAAGTTCAAAACGTCAAAGAGCCACTGCATCGAAGGCATGCACAAGTTCACGATCTTTTAGCTATTGGAGAACTATCAGACGCCATTTTCCTTTTGACCTTCCATCAGAAAATAGACTGAAGTACCAGCTACATATGTCCGCCCTCCTACCTATACGCAAGAATTGAGACAGAACTTTTTCCACAGGCATTTAAAATGTAAAGGTGGCTAAATCATTATGGAATCCTGTCGTCATATAATTCCTGCCCCCAAATCGGATTTCAGATTCAGAAAACCAACTCCATATGGATCTCTTTCTTCAACATATACATATTCAAGTTATACATACACACACAGATTGCAAATTTTTCTAAAGAGTATAATTTGAAGCTTAAAATCAACCGATAAAGAAAAGTTTCCAGCTCCCAACCATCAGGGACCTATATAGAGACAATAAAAATTTTGCTGACAGGACTACCAGAGATCAGACAACATACACATAACTTTAAAACTGGTCTTTTTTAAAGGTAGCTGCATGTATATCTGTTTTAAGGCTAGTTGAGTTTGATGTCCAGGAAGGATGACATCAGCTATATGGTGGTGCTTGTCATTGTTGTCAGGCAGACCAGCGAGAAACTGTTGTTACTGAATTTTTCCTAGGTGACCAAAATGACATGAATATAACTAGCAAAGGAAGACCAGAAATTGGTCCTGACGTATCCGCATTTTCTACACAATGTGCTCTAATGCACAAGATTCATCAAGCTTTTGAATAAGCTAATGATAGGACCAGAATGATTTACCTCAGAAGAGTTAAGGAGGAGAAGACCTCCGGCTTTTCCTGCAGATAACCACCTGAATTTAACATTATATCAGACAAACTACTCATCATCCTCGTCATCATAGTCAGACTCTGATTCACCATCACTCCTAGATTTCATAAACCTATTCATATCGAATGATGGCAATGCATCCATTTCTTCCAGATCAATACTGTCATAATCCATCCTTTCCTTGAACTTCTCATCAGAACAGTTGAGCAGCCAGGCAAGAGAACATTTTAAACCCTTCTTAGCAATCCTTCTGTACCGTGGTTTTATAGTGGATTCGAGACCATAAGTGAAAAATGATGGGAAAGCGACCAAGTCCTCCAAAGGTTGTCCCATTTCTTTACTAAAGTAATCGAAACTGAACTTCATTATATCTATATTCAAGGCTAGCAGCTGAGGACACCCAACAACCATATCCTTAACTTGTTGCAACGAAAATCCGCAATCCTTGAGAAAGTCCACATGCTTCACCACAGCAGTATTACTGAGGCTGACGACCTGTGGCATCCTCTCGACAACTCTGCCGAACTCTTCATCACTCAACTCGGTAATTGAACCAAGCAAAGACCGCTGATTCAGAAGCTTAGGCTTCAAATCAATCCCTATAATCGCAGGATACTGCACAACAACCGAGGGAACCAATGTCCTCCTGACATGAAATTCTAACAGCGACTCCACATTGGGAATTACCGTGTCCTCTAATCCGAACCCAAGTATGTGAGGACTCTTCTCTACCAAGCTAGCCACAGCTAATCTCGGAATGCCCAAGTATTCAAGATACTCCACAAAGGGCTTAATCACGCGGCCCACTCGCATCCCTAAAATCTCTGGATATCTAGTCAGAACACCCCCAATCTCTCTTCTACCGACACCAATCCCGACCAAGTAAGCAACCGAAGTACTCATAGTCCCCTCAAGCTTAAACCCCAGAACTTCCGGATACTTTTCGAGAACGCGAGGAACGTCGTTCAGCTTAATGTCCATACCTTGGAGGTAGTTAACCACCGGAGCCAGGTCGACCACGACACTCGCGTGGAGAACCTGGGGATACCTCCTCAGAAACTCAACCAGCGTCGACTTCCGGACGCCTAACTTGCCGAGGTAATCGAGCACCGGAATCATGTTCTTCTTCACGCTGCAACCCAGGACGAGAGGATAGTTATTGATGTCCTCGATCGTGAGCCCCAAATTGTGAAGAAAATCGATTCGCTCCCTCATGACCTCGACGGTGACGGGAAGGTCCAGCCCGTCGAGCTCGTCGGGGACGATCCCGATCCCGCGGAGGAACTCGTAAACCCTGGCGCGGTTCCCCATCCTCTCGCTCTTCATCTCCGCCAAGCTGGGGCGGCTGTACAGGGACGACGAGGAGGACGAGGAGCCCCTATCCCTCCGGCCCAGCCGGACCCTGTTCGGCCCCGCCGCGGCCGGGCCGCCGTCCGACCCGGAGGGCGGATTCCGCTCCGAGACGGAGGTCTGGGACCGCGAGACCTGCCAGATTCGGCGGTCGCGGCGACTCGGCAGGGGGAGGTTGGGTCGCCATGGGAGCCGGACGGGGAGGTCCTGGTGGGCGGCGAGCAAGAAGGCGGGTTTCGCGACGCCGGAGCAGCTCCGGGAGAGCATGTCTGGAGGACACTTCCCAAGAGGGGTGCAAGAATCAGCAGAGAGCCATGGAAATGGGTTCTTGAAATCCTCCGATCCGAGGTCGAGGAGAGGGAGGGAGAGACAGAGACAGAGAGACGAGGATGATTCGAGGACTCCGAGGAAGTGATAAGGGCATGTCGGGGAAGTGAAACAGTGAGGATTCTAGTTAAGATGTTCACACAGTAGGGTTAATTAAAAAAAAAAGCATTAATTTTAGGTCGAGGAACAATTTTAGCTCAAATTTTTTTTTGTTTCATAAAAAAGCATCAACTTTAGGTCGATGGACAATTATGGCCCGAACTTTTTTTGTCCCGTGAAAAAGCACCAATTTTAGGTCGATGGACAATTCTGGCCCGAATTTTTTTTTGTCCCGTAAAAAAGCACCAACTTTCACTTAAATCTCAAATCTTGCCCTTATTGACTTAAAACCATTGATTTTCCAACTTGACTATTCCACCTTAGCAATAAATCCACGTGACTTGCTGACCGGATTTAAAGTATTATTCATTGTCTTATTCTCTGAACCACAGCTTGAAGAATAACGGTGAAACTGTTCGTCTCCTTCACTTCACTGGCAAGTCAAAAATATCTCCAGATTGAATCTTTCTGGCCAAACTTCATCGTTTTGTCGTAATTTGAAGCTGTAGACCACCGCCCGTCGACAGACGCCATGGAAGAGATTCGCCAGGCTCACCACCATAACTTTTTTTCTCAAACAAGGGTAACTTCAGACAGAAAGTCAATGGGAGGTCAAATTTGGGATTTAAATGAAAATTTGTGCTTTTTTACGAGACAAAAAAAAGTTCGGGCCAGAATTGTCCCTCGACCTAAAGTTGGTGTTTTTTTATGGGACAAAAAAAAGTTCGGGCCAGAATTGTCCATCGACCTAAAGTTGGTGCTTTTTTATGGAACAAAAAAAAGTTCGGGCCAGAATTGTCCATCGACCTAAAGTTGGTGCCTTTTTTTTGGAATTAACCCCAACATAATAGTATGATTAGTTTGGTAAACTCGTAGCGGGCTTATTGAGAATGGCCCCGACCTAGTTCCCGACCTTTGTAGTGGGCTTGGTGTCGGCCCGTGTTCTCCCGACACGCGATAACTCGTGATTGCTCCGCATTCCCGGGCACGTGATGGCACGTCCACCGTCAATTCCTTAAGCTAGAATTGCCA